CTGGATCTTAAGCTCGAGCTGCCTGAGCAGATGGTAGCTGCCCCAGAACTAATCGACAGAGGGGACATGCCAGGAAGACGCGCCGCGGAACGTCCCAAGGGACGCGCCAGGCGACGTGCCAGGGGACGTGCCATGGGGACGCACCGCGGGACGTGCCGAGGGGACGCGCTACGGAACGTGCCAGTGGAGGTGCACCGCGCGACGTGCCAGGGGGACTCGCCACGGGACGCTCCGCGGAACGTGCCAGGCAACATGCCAGGCTGTGCTGTGCATGGGCGACCTGCACACGTGAAAACACGCGTTTCACTCAAGACGTTCTCAGCACATCCTCATGCTAGACATCCGCCTGGGCAATCTGGACACGTGCAAACAAGCGTCTCGATCGAGACTTCCTCGACACATCCTCATGCTAGACATCCGCCTGGGCGACCTGGACACGTGAACACAAGCCTCTGGTTCGAGGCATCCTCAACAACTCCTCATGCTAAACATATGTCTGGGCAACCTGGAGGCGTGAAACCAAGCGTCTCGCTCGAGACGTCCCCAAGACCTGGGCACGCGAAAACAAGCATTTCACTTGAGAGATCCTTTGAATTCAGGTCACCATGAGAGGACAATCTATAATACAAAACAAGCGTTTCGCTCGAGATATCCTCAACAAATTCTGAAAAATAAGCGATTCGCTAGGGACACCCTGAAATTTTAATTCGCCGGCCGTCTTCCCACTCGTTATTTATCGCAAAAGAAATCCGCCGGCCCTCTTCCCGTCAAAACCGAGGGGAAACCTCTAAAAGAGAACCCTGGGCTTGAAGCCCTTTCCGGGAAAACTGCGCCCTGCGGGGCAAACGCATCTTTACAAATGCGCCATGCGGGGCCTGAAATTCGCCAGCCCAGCGGGCCAGGTGCATGCTAAGATTTCAAGCAACAGGTTAACGATTTTCCGAGTTCGCGCTCGCTGGGCGGCCCCACGGGTCCCCGGACGAAAAGTACCCTGGGCGCAGCCCGGCGAACTCCCAGGCACCTCCCAGGCGGTCGATGTCACCGATGCCGGGATTCCCGGGGGCGGTCTTCAGGGCCCCAAACACCGACCCAGGAGCTCCCCGAGAGGCTTCGAGATAGCCTCCAAATGGTCAAATACAGCTCCAAGAGGCCCCCAAGAGGTCAACCATCACACGTGTTGCGGAAGGTTTTGTCAACTTTTGCCGCTACCGCTTTTCAGTTTCCCGGCCGCCCCAGACGGCCCATTCAGCCCGCGAGATTGCTAGAATTCACGCCAGGAGGCCCCCAGGACGGCCGCGGGATCGCCCAAGAGGGCCCGGGCCCAGAGGCCTCCCAAGAATCTTCCAAACCCCGAGAAGTGCCCGAAGCGGGGGAACCCGAACTGCAGTTTCGAACCCTTTTCCGACTGATGACCCCCCACACCGCCGGTAAGCCCACAAGAGGGCCCCAAGAGACCTCCAAGAGGCCCCCAAGAGGCCCCCAAGAGGCCCTACGAAGCTCCAAACATGCCCCCGCGAGCACGCAAGCAAGTGCCAACGATGCTACAATGAGTTCCCAAGGGGCTCCCAAGACGGCCTAAGAGGGCGTCAAGAGGAGTCCAAGAGTGTCCCAAGAGTCTAATATGCCCCAGACGCCCACGATTGCTTTCGCAACCACCGCGCCAAATGGCAACGAACACGCGCGCGCACACACCCGCGAGGATTTTTTCCTGGACGGCGGAATGAGCGAAACGCTCAAATGAAAAATGCGCCTTGCGGGGCAAACACAGCGAGAAAACAACGAAAGCAAGTGCAACAGCATCATCATCCTTGAAAACCAAATGGAAATCAATGAAAACAACTACACACGTCTATGATACACCAATGAAGACCTACGCATATTTTTACACAGCAAATCCAAACCTAGACATACATACAGTTACTTGTATGTATAGATACACTTGACCATACAACACTTCTGTAGATGCGCAAACGCATCTTTATTTCCCGACGTGTGCCCGCTCATGAGCTGCAGTGCGCGGCCAGTGCACATCACCGAAGATATCAAATACCCCCCTATAGCCTCCTTATCAACCGAAGGACGGTCGTATCGGTAAACTTGTTTGGCCTCCCAGGAGCGCGTTCGGATCTCTTCGGGAATGTTGGGTGCCTCTTAGGACCTCTCTTATAGTTTTCTGGGGTGCTGCTGGAGCCCCACAGGCTCTCCCGAGCTGTTCAGGGAGATCTTGGGCTCGTCGGCGGGTAGTGGCATTGTCTTGGGGCCCTTCGGGGCCTCTTTCCGAACATACGACCTGTTCAATCCCATTGCTTTTCCCCGATTTCAGCTACTGGGACTCATTATCTGGCACCGGGGGCTTCAACCATGGATCCGGGACGGAAAACTATCCCTGGGGAAGGGGTCTGGGCTTCTGGGGTCCGCATTGAAAAATCACATCGTCGGATGTTTTGGAAAAACCCGGGGGGGAGTGAATGCTGCGAACTGTATGGGGTGATTCCACGAAGGGGGGTCGCCCCTAGGAAGCAGAGGGCGCCCGTGAAGGGAACCCCTAACCAGGGGACCCCCTCATTTCGGACACCCTCCCAAGGACCCCCCTTTTCCAAGTGAAGAGGGGGTGGCCGAACCCCCAGCTCCCCCAAGCTGGAATCACTGGGATCAACAGCATCACCAGAATCACTGGGATCACCGAAATCAATCGAAGCCACCGAAATCAGCAGTCTCAGTGGGATCAACGGGATCATGGGGATGACCAGGATCACAGCGATCACCAGGAACACAGGCGTCACGGGGATCACCAGGATCTTTGGGGGGATCTTGGGACCAACAGATCCTCAGGATCACAGGGAGAACCGGGACCACAGGGATCTAGGGGGAGGGACCAGGCTTTCGGACAGCGCCCCCCTGGTGTTAGTAGAGATCGGGGGGAGGTTTCGACCCCCCCTTGCAAGCGATCGCAATGCCGCTCCTTCTCAGCAAACGGCATAAGTTCTACGAGGCACTTGTTTGTTGATACGGAGTGAACCTTCTGGTCGAGTTGAGATCCCCCCGACAAAAACAGTTTAACAGGCGAAAGTGAAAGGCTACAGTGGGCGCGCTGAAGAGGGAACCCCTCTCGCTGGGGAGGGGCTCGGTGTTCCTTGATTGGTTCGCAGCTTGCCGGAGGTTTTCCTGCGGTTTTCGATGGGAAGTCGGAGGTTAACATGTGGAAAAAAAAGGGGCCTTGCTCCTTAGTTAGGGTTCCTTAGGTCAGCGCCCCGACTGTATACAAGACACCCAGAAGGGGGGAGTCTGGGGGGATGGCGTGGCGGCAGCTCGAGGCGCTGCGCCCCGGGCGTCCTTCCGCACCTGCTTGCGCGCGGCGTCGGGCCCCAGGAAGTCCGTGGGTCTGCGGGGGCTGTTGGCGGAGGGCTGAGGGCCAGGATCTAGCCTTGGCATCGCTCGGACGTGTGCATTTTTCCTTCGGCGAGGACCATCGAGGAGCATCCTTGATCATTTGGCGAAAAAACCACGCACGAAACCAAGAAAAGCACAGGAAATGGACGTCCGAGCGATGGCCAGTAGCGCATTCCTGAGCACTGCCGAGGCGATGAAGGCCAGGATCCAGCGCAGGAGGGAAAACAACACACAGACACAATGAATCGTCGATTCCTCAGAAAATGTGGGAAAATATGGGCAGTGTGGGGGGAAGACAGAAACCCCGAAGACATGGGAAAATGTGGGGAATCCTTTATTTGTGTGTATTTATGTGTGTGCCCTAGGGCCCCTTCACTAGCGCATTCCTGAGAACTGCCGAGGCGATGTAGTCAGATCATCTGATGTCCCTCGGCCGCGGCAGCCCCGGGTCTGGGGAACCCCCCCTAAGGCCTGAGCTTCTCAGGCCTCCCGTGAGTCGCCAGATCCCCAGACCCCTCCAAACACACACACACACAAACACACACACACACACACACGCGCACACACGCGCGCGCACGCACGCACGCACGCACGCACGCACGCACGCACGCACGCACGCACGCACGCACGCACGCACGCACGCACGCACGCACGCACACACACACACACACACACACACACACACACACACGCACACACACACAACAGACCACACGCACACAGCAAAAACAAAACACGAAAAAACAGTCGAGTCTGAGGCATGTCCGTTTCCTCGGGCCCTGGAACCCAACAGAAAGGCTCGGCCCGAGAAGCAAAAAACGGTGCCGGGGCAGGAATCGAGAGGACTGGGGCCAGGAGACTCGAACAGGCAGGGTCGTCAGCTCGGCATCGCTCGGACGTGTGCATTCTTCCTTCGGCGAGGACCATCGAGGAGCATCCTTGATCATATGGCGAAACAACCACGCACGAAACCGAAGAAAGCACACGGAATGGACGTCCGAGCGATGGCGAGTTAGAGGTCTGGGCCCGGGGGCTCCACGGGGGCCCCTCGCCGCTTCCAGTGCCCGGCGCACCGGCGCAGTCTCTTGGCCCGAGGCTGGCGCCCAGCCTCTCTGCAGGGAGAGGCCGGCCGGGCGGCCCCGCGCCTCCGGCGGGGCGGCGAGGTGCGAAGGAGAAAGGACGCCAGAGACATACAGTCGGGGCGCTGACCTCAGGAACCCTAAATAAGGAACGAGGCCCCTGTTGTCCATGAGTTAAACTTCGGCTTCTCATCGAAAACCCAGGGCAAACCTTATAGGCAAGCCGTGACACAATCAAGGAGCACCGAGCCCCTCCCCAACGAAAAGGGTTCCTTCTTCAGCGCACCGACTGTAAACTATTGTGGCGCTCTGTGCGGGTTTCCTGGGTCCGCGCTGGGCCCCCCGCCTGCGGGGCCTCCGGCGCCGCCCCTGGCGTGCTCCGCGCGCCAAGAAGTCCGCGCGGAGCGCCAAAAGCTTATGTTTCTGCCGTTTGTTTTTCCTTTTTGTTCAGAGATGCCGAGTCGGGGTGGCTCGTCTCTCAGCAATGGTCGCGCCAGTAGTGGCAGGACGCGTTCCCACTCGATGTCCCGCATGCAACGCGCACGGGCGCTGCTGAACGACAGGGAGAGAGAGCAAGGCTCCTCGAGCACGGCGGTGCCGTCTGGACTTTTGAAGGACATTTCCGACTCGTTCGACTCGGGCCTGTTGGAGTGCTGTTCCGACAGGAGCGGGGGAGAGATGTCGAGCGATCTCATGAACCCGCGGTGGCGCCGCCTGATAGTCTCAGTGTCGGGCAGCCTCGCGCAGCGGTTCTCCGACGCCACGTTAGTCCCCGACGGCTGCATGGCGGAGTTTGTGCACACCGACGCGACTGGTGGCGGCTCACAGATGGATCTCCAGCAGTGTTTTGAGGGAGCGCTCCATGCAATGGAGCTGAGTGACAAGAGTGCCGGTTTTGTCCTCATCGGCGCTTACTACTACCTCATAGCAGACGACGTGGTTCTCACTTCCCAAACGTGGCGGTCGCTCGTTGTGACCGCGCTGCTCGTAGCGGCCAACGAGATGTGCGAGCGCGCGGAGCACGAGCTGGCGATTCGCAGGCTCCGGCAATCTGCGGCGCATTGGTGGTCTGAAGACAGGGCCGATCGGGCGGTCCAAGTCTTCAAGCTGCGCGAGGCCTTCGTGCAGAAGCCCCTCAACCAGCAGAAGATAGCAGCGCTGTATTTTGAGCTGCGTGCTAGCGCTCTGGAGATCGCTCCATTCGATGATGATAGCCACTCGGGGGCTGCCATTGCCGACTTTCCCCTCGACCATGCGCCCGTGAGGAATCCGAACGTCAAGGCCTCGAATTCGCTGTCGGGCCGCAACGGCGACCCTGCCGACCGCAGCAACGAGCGCAGCAACGCTAGCCTGGCCTTCTCGGACTCGAGGAGCCGCAGCACCTACAACGACGGCTACACGTCCGACCACTCCGTCTGATGGGCGTTTCTTCCACCACCACCGCCATCAGTTGGAGGGGGAGGGGGTCCTCCTCCTCCTCCTCCTCCTCCTCCTCTTCCTCCTCCTCCTCTCCTTGTATGGTGCATTGAAGAGGGAGCTTCGAGGAAAGGCTCCTCCCAACATCGTTGACTCCTCCTCCTCTTCTTCCTCCTTCTCCTCCTCCTCCTACTCCTTTTCGTGGTCCTCCTCCTCCTCTTCCTCCTCCTCCTCCTTGTCGTCCTCCTCCTCCTCGTCCTCCACCTCCTTCCTCCCTCCAACCCATGGTGGTGGTGGTGGAAGACGGGCCCATCTCCGTCTTCTCCATCTAGAGGGCGCGCCCGTCTGCGCAGCGCGCCGGCTTTGCTCGGGCCGCCGGGCGCTCAAGAAAAAGAGTGTGTGTTTCGATGCTCGCGGCTGGCGCGGCATCGTGGCTCGGTTTTGATGCGCATCTCGAGACCCAAAGACGATGCTGATGTTGATGCCGATGCTGACGATGATGATGATGTTGGCACAGCACTTGCAGCGGACGCATCATCTCCACGAATCACTGCCACCCTGGGCCCTGAACAGGAGGTTCCCAACACCCGGTGTGCACGTGTGCGCGGTGCAGTACGTTCGGGCCGGACGAAAGGGGGGATTGGGAAAGGGGGGGGTACGAAATTTGCTGCATGCAGCTGGTTTCGGCCCCGCCGAGGGGCCCATTCCTCGATACATAGTCGCCTCCGGCGCCGGGAGGCGCCGGGGAAATGTATACGTGAGCTGATTCTCAAAACCCCCCTTTGCCATCCCCCCCTTTCGCCCGACCCGACACATGATCCCCCCTTTGCTATCCCCCCTATCGGCCCCCCATCGCCCTTGGCTATCCCGATCGCCCTTTGCTATCCACACCTATCGCCCTTTGCGATCCCGATCGCCCCTATCGCCCTCTGCTATCATCCCCCCTACAGTCGGGGCGCTGAAGAAGGAACCAGTTTCGTTGGGGAAGGGCTCCGTGTCCCTTGATTGTCTCACAGTTTGCTTCAGCGTGTCCTTAGGTTCTCGAGGGGAACTCGACATTCCACTCGTGGAAAACGGGGGCCTCGTTCCTTATTTAGGGTTCCTTAGGTCAACACCCCGACTGTATCGCCCTTTGCCATCCCGATCGCCCTTTGCTATCCCCCCCCCCTATCGCCCTCTGCTGTCCCGATCGCCCCCACTGCCCTTTGCTATCCCCCCCTTATCGCCCGATGACGCACCCGCCCTTGGCTATCCCCCCCTCTGCCATCCCCCCCTACAGTCGGGGCCCTGAAGAAGGAACCCTTTTCGTTGGGGAGGGGCTCCTCGTTCCTTAAGTGTTTCACAGCTTGCCTCAGGTTTTCCTACGGTTTTCGATGGGAAATCGAAGTTTAACTTATGGAAAGAAAAGGGGCCTCGCTCCTTATCTAGGGTTCCTTAGGCCAAGGCCCCGACTGTATCGCCTGGCCCGATACACGATGGCGTTGGGTCGGGCATGTCCCCCTGCCGCGCGCCGGGGCTTCAGCTCGGGCCGCCGGGCGCCGGGGCAGACCTCGGGGCTGGCGCGGTCTGGGGGGCTGGCGCGGAGCCGTGGCTCGGCTCGGCTGCGCAGCTTGAGTTAAGTCGGGCGTGTCCCCCTACCGGGGGATTTTCGACGAAGAATAAAAGATACCCCAAAAATAATCAAGAAATAGTCCAAAAATAGTCTGGGGACTATTTTTGGTGTGTTTTTTTACCTTTGTGGGGCATTTTTGGGATATTTTTGTTTTTCGTCGAAAATCCCGCTGTCGGGGGACACGCCCGACATAAAGCCTGAGGCCCAGAGCACTCCACGAGGCATTGCCAGCCGCTGGTGTTGATGATGCTGCGGATGATGCTGCTGCTGGTGATGATGACGATGATGCTGATGCTAATGCTGATGCTGATGATGATGCTGCTGATGATGATGATGATGATGATGATGATGATGATGATGATGATGATGATTACGATGACGATGACGATGACGCTGATGCTGATGTTGATGCTGATGATGATGCTGATGGTGATGGTGATGGTGATGGTGATGGTGATGGTGTCGGCACAGCATTTGCAGCGAACGCACCATCTCCACGAAGCACTGCCACCGTGGGCCCTGGGCAGGGGGTTCCCGACATCCGGTGTGCATGTGTGCGCGCGGTGCAGTGCACGATGGCGTAAAGGCCGGCCATGTCCCCCACAGGCGGATTCTGGGCGAGAAGTCAAATGCCCAAAAATGGTCAACAGTAATACAAAATAATGAAGAGTAGTCCCCGGACTAGTTTTGTACTGGTCTTGCAGATTCTTCCTGTAGAGGACCAGGCCCGACTTCATGACAGCGCCACCCAGGGAGCACACCAGGGCAGGGTGCGCGGAGAGGGGTCGCAGCTGTCAAGAGAGCACGGCAAGGCACGATGCCATGGAGAGCGCACCACCCGTGGAGAGTCACGGCAGCGACGAGGTCATCGCGGCAGCAGCGCGCCCGAAGGCCTGTGCCACGGACCACCACCCACAGGACGCCAGGGCAGGAACTCGACGACCGCAGCCGTCATGTTTGCTGGCGCGGACCCCCCAAACCGGGATTTCTCTTGTGCTCTGCTTGCGTGAACTATGTGGTGCAAGTTGCGTGGTGCGAGCTACATGTGTTGCAGGTTGTGGGTTGCAAGCTAGGTGGTGCAAGCTATGTGGTGTAAGCCATGCTGCGTAAGCTCTGTGGTGGACGCTACGCGGTGCAAGCGTCGTGGTGCAGGCTACGTGGTGCAAGCTATGTGGTGCAAGTTCTTGGTGCAAGCTACGCGGTGTGAGCTAAGCTATGTGGTCTAGGCTACGATGTGGCGCAGGCTATGAGGTGCAAGCTATGCGGTGCATGATCTATTGTACAAGCTACATGGCACCATTGGTTATGCCTGCAACCTGTGTGACCCAAGCTATGAGGTGCAAACTCTGTGCTGCAAGCCATGCGCTGTAAGCTATGTGGCACAAGCTAAGCTATGCGGTGCAAGCTCTGTGGTGCCGACGAGGCTCCCACGTGCGGCGACGGGGCGAACGCACGTAAGTTCCAGACGCCCACGTCGCGCCCAGGAGTGGCAGCATCGCGAAAACCCAGAATTCCCAACCACTCATTTGGGGTATGAACCCTAAGTGGAAGCACTGATTGGAGGAGAGGCATCATAAGGCGGTGACCGTACGGTGTATCAGGATCCACAGAAATCTACGGCAAGAGCGCGAACACCGCAATCATCAAGCAGCCGTAGGACATTAGCCATAGGGCAACACCCTCCCGAGAACGCATCAGGGCAATAACTTTGGGATCACCACAATCAAAGGCATGCCAGAGCACCAACCATGCAGCACCATACCAAGGGCACCATGGCAAGAACGAGAGAACATGAAACGTCATAGGCACCACAGGGCACCAGCCACGTTGCACCACGCATTAGCGCATCAGCACGGGAACTCCACGGGCACGCAACTGTGACGTGTGCTGCCTCTCCGAAGCAGTGGCGAGGGCCTCTGGTGCAAGCACTGCTTGGGTCGTGAGCAAGCTTTCGGAGGTCCGTGCGGAGTTCCTTGATCGGCGCTGGGTTCTCGTCCCCGCACCCTGGGGCCCCTTGCGTCGCCAGGGCGCCGTCTCGCGGGCGCGCCCTGCGCGCCCGGGAAGTGGTGCGGGGTGTGGGACCTGGCGCCGACCCAAGAAGTTTGCTTGTGTCGTTGTCTGGTCTGCCACCCCTCCGGCTGCACGCCCGCCTGTCTCGACGCTACGTTTCACGGCTCTTGAGCCCGAGACCTTGGTATCCAATCGGTCATTGGCTCGCGCTTGGCCGCGATCGAGGCGGTATCTTGATGCTCGGGCTGCCCTGTAGTAGAGCTGAATAGAGGAACGGGCACGGCGAAAAGGTCTATGCCACACAAAGGTACGTGCGGAGCATGTTGTAGCAACATGGCCTGTTGGAGACTCGGCGCGCAACATATTTGGAGTAGACTTGCATACGTCCAGAATTTGGAAGACTGCATGCTCGGCTGTGTAATAGTAGAGTGTCGAGTCGACTACTGGACTGGTGCCCTGAGGGCTTCCGTATGCACCAGAGGCCCCGCAAGCGTTACCAGTGTTGCATATTTGATATTTGCAAGTGTTTTGAACATGTGTTTCTCCATGTTGGTTCTTTCCTGGCGGAGCCGGGTGAAATACCGTGCACGCCAGTGACTGACTGATTGACTGAACGGTAGCAGGGCACTTCTGACAACCCATTTCAAACTGCCCGCGGGAGCGCGCAACCGCAATCAGGCGACACATTTCAACCCGCCCGCACAACCGCAACCGAAACCGCCGCAACCTGGCGACACATTTCAACCCGCCCGCGCGCGCAACCGCAACCGCAACCAGGCGACACATTTCAACCCGCCCGCGCAACCGCAACCGCAACCGGGCGACACATTTCAACCTGGCCGCGGCCGCGCAGACGCAACCGCAATCAGGCGGCACATGTCAACCGGCCCGCGCGCGCAACCGCAATCGCAACCAGGCGACATTTTTTCAACCCGCCCGCGCATTTTCAACCCGCCGCGCGACCGTAACCGCAACCAGGCGACACATTTCAACCCGCCCGCGCAACCGCAACTGCGACCGCAACCAGGCGACACATTTCAACCCTCTCGCGCAACCGCAACCGCAACCAGGCGACGCATTTCAACCCGCCCGCGCGCGCAACCGCAACCGCAACCAGGCGACACATTTCAACCCGCCCGCGCAATCGCAACAGCAACCGCAACCAGGCGACACATGCCAACCCAGCCGCGCAATTTCAACCCGCCTGCGCAACCGCAACCGCAACCAGGCGACACATTTCAACCCGCCCGCGCGTGCAACCGCAACCGCAACCAGGTGACACATTTCAACTGGCCCGCGCAACCGCAACCGCAACCAGTCGACACACTTCAGCCCCGACCGCGCGCGCAACCGCAGCCGCAACCAGGCGTCACATTTCGACCCGCCCGCGCGCGCAACCGCAACCGGGCGACACAGTTCTACTCGCAACTGCAACCAGGCGACACGTTTCGGCCCGGCCGCGGGCGCGCGAAACCGCAACCGCACAGGCGACACATTTCACCCCGCCCGCGCAACCGCAACCGCAACCAGGGGGCGCAAGCGCCCTGTTCATCATGGGTCACCGTGCCCTCGTTGTCCGCTCACCTGCGGTCCTCCTGCACAGGATCTGAGGAGGAAGGAGGGTGGGAGGGAGGAGGAAGGGAGGGAGGAGGGAGGCGGGAGGAGGGAGGGAGGAGCGAGGGAGGGAGGAGGCAGGGAGGGGAGGAGGGAGGGAGGAGGGAGGAGGGAGGGAGGACGGAGGAGGGAGGAGGCAGGAAGGGGAGGTGGGAGGAAGGAGGGAGGGAGGGAGGAGGGAAGGGGGAGGGGAAAGGGCACACACCGACCGGGGGCGGACAAATTCTGCCCCCCCCCTCCGCAAGCGGATCTCGGCAGGCTTCCAGACCCTGGATTCCTTGACCCAAGCTTTCCTGGAGGCGGATGTCCTGCTCGCGGTCTCGTTCCCCGCGGTTCTCCGCCTGGACACTGCAGCCGGGAGTCCCCGGTTCACGCTGCTGCCTCTGATCTTGTTTCACGGCAGCCCGACGCCCCGCCGTTTTGTCCACAGTGTCTCACTGTCGCGCTCCGTTGATGCTTTAATTTTCTGA